CCGCCACCTCGCGGCCTCCGGAAGCCGGTGCCTCCTCACAGGTGCACCTTCTTTCTCCAGGTGCACCTGTGTGAGGTCGAGGACCCTCAGGACCTCGTCAGCCTCGACTTCCCCCTGACCGTACGCAAGGGACACCCCTTACTGGTAGCTGTCAAGATCCTACGGCCAGATGCCACCAAGAATGCCAGGTGAGGAGCAGCGATGGCATCGAGAGGACAGCAGGGAGGCCGCGACGCGGGGGCACAGCAGAGGGGCGTCGGCAGGGCTTCACAGGGCACAGGCCGCCCTCACAGCCCGGCCCTCCCTGCCGTGCAGGAACGACTTCCTGAAGGAGGTGAAGATCATGTCGCGGCTCAAGGACCCCAACATCATCCGGCTCCTGGGCGTGTGCGTGCAGGACGACCCCCTCTGCATGATCACTGACTACATGGAGAACGGCGACCTCAACCAGTTCCTGGGCGCCCACCAGCTGGAGGACAAGGCGGCCGCGGGCGCGCCCGGGGATGGCGGGGCTGCCCAGGGGCCCACCATCAGGTACCTGCTTCCCAGGCTGGGCCTCCCCTGACAGCCCTCCACAGGGCGGCTCCTGTCCCCCACTCCGCCTGCTGGAGAGGCCGAGGAGGTTCCAGGACCGGCCTGGATGGGGAATGTGGCCGCGCTGGTCCAGGACTGGGCGGGAAGGCTGGAGCGTACGAGGGGCTTGGACCCACCCCGATGCCCTCCCGCCTTCTCACCCTCACTGCCCCGTGTCCGGACTGGGGAGAAAACAGCTCCCGAGGGGTGGGGAGGCCAGAGAGGCTGAGTAGGACGTGGCTGGGCCTCCGCGGTGGCATTTTTTTGCACTGCCGTCGGGAGTAGCCTGACCTCTCCGTCCTCCCGGATGGAGTCTGTGAGGCGAGGAGGCCGGCTGTCCCCAGTGACCCGTCGGCTCCCTCCTCAGCTACCCGATGCTGCTGCACGTGGCGGCCCAGATCGCCTCGGGCATGCGCTACCTGGCCACGCTCAACTTCGTGCATCGGGACCTGGCTACGCGGAACTGCCTGGTTGGGGAGAATTTCACCATCAAAATCGCTGACTTTGGCATGAGCCGGAACCTCTACGCCGGGGACTACTACCGCGTGCAGGGCCGGGCGGTGCTGCCCATCCGGTGGATGGCCTGGGAATGCATCCTGATGGTGAGCGGCCGGCAGCCGGAGGGGCAGGGCAGGCCGAGCAGAGCACCAGCGGTGCCCTCCCCTGCAGCCCGGGCTCCTGGGGTCCAGGCTGGGGGGTGGCCAAGCGGGGGGGCTGGGGGGCC